CCCACAACACCAACACACACCTTTTTGCCCAGCCCCATGGCCATGCTGCGCTCCAGCAGGGCGCGGGCGGGCAGGTTGTAGGCGAACAGCACGATCACGTTGACTTTGGTGCTGTTGATCAAGCGGATTGTGTCGTCCAGCTGCTGCCGGGCGCCSGGCTGGGCCAGCTCGGTGGGCACCAAGCCCTCGAAAGCCACGCAGATGTTGTCGTTGCCCACCATGCTGAGGAACAGCGCCTGCGCCCCGCGGCCGTACTCGTCGTCGCTGGCCACCGTGGCGATCCAGTTCCAGCCAAACTGGTTGAGGAGCTGCACCACGGCCTCCGCCAGGTTYTTGTCGCTGGGCACGGTGCGGTAGAAGGACGGGTAGAGCTCYGTGTTGCTCAGGCTCTCGCTGCTGGCTCCGTAGCTCACCTGCACGGGGGAAACGGATGAGGGGAGTGGTCACTCTCCCTGGGCTTTTTTCCTTGAGTTTTAGCCGAGTAAATTTTTTAAATGGTGGTGAATTGGTCCCAAAAGATGTATTCACTGAGATTCTCTGCGCTCCTAGGCTGTGTGTGGATGAAATGATTTCTGTTGCACATCCTGGACAGAAAATCCAGCACTGCCTTGGCTCTCCAGATCTTCCTTTCTGTCCCTCATCACCGCCCCAGCCYCATCATTAATGAAGGGATAATTAACTTTCTCTCTCTCCAGCATTCTGTTAATGGTGAATTTCTCTGGGTTAGAGCTCTGCTGTGGTAATTAACTGTGTTTAATCACAGCGGGATTGTCACGGATCCTGCCAGGAGCTCTGATATTCCTGTTTTACACGGATCAGAGTGGGCTGAGCTCTGTTCTGCCTGGGAAATTAAACCCCAGAGAGTGTCCAGGAGGGGAATTTAATGATCCACCCAAGAAATTTGTGATTGTGTCCAGGACTGGGATTTAATTAATGAAGACCCACCCAAGGAATCTGTGATCCAGGAGGAGAATTTAATTAATGATGCACCCAAGAAATCTGTGATCGTGTCCAGGAGGAGAATTTAATTAATGACCCACCCAAACATATCTGTGATGGTGTCCAGAATGGCAATTTAATGAATGACCCACCCAAGAAATCTGCAGTCCAGAAGGGGAATTTAATTAATGAATGATCCACCCAAGGAACTATGATCATGTCCAGGAGGAGAATTTAATTTATGACCCACCCAAGAAATCTGTGATCGTGTCCAGAGGGGGATTTAATGACCCCCACCAAATCCATGATCCTGTGCAGGACTGGAATTTAATGATCCACCTGAGAAATCTGTGATGGTGTCCAGGACTGGGATTTAATTCATGACCCACCCAAGAACTCTGCGATCGTGTCCAGTATTGGGATTTAATTCATGACCCACCCAAAAA